GCCAAATACCAGTAACAATGATGGGTCTCATTCTCCTAACACTGAAAGAGCCTTGAATATGGCACTTTAAAAAAAAAATCTCAGGGCTAGGACAAAGGAGACTACTGGGGCCTGCTTGAGGCAATCGAAGAATAACAGGATGGTCGTGATTGTGATAGAAAAAAAACAAACAAACATAGTATGAAACTAACACTCAAGGACAGTAGAAACAAGGGCCAGGAGGATTGGAAGTATGCCTCAAGGGCTCAGGGAGGGAGCAGTTGGGATGGAGAAGGACCATTATGACAATGGTGCTTGGAGGGATCCCTCTGGATGGGAGATGTGTGCTGAAAGTGGGTAAAGGACCAAATATGACGGCGTCTCAGTATCTGTATCGTAAACCATAATGCCCGAGAGCAGAGAGAGAGAGAGAGAGAGAGAGAGAGAGAGAGAGAGAGAGAGAGAGAGAGAGAGAGAGAGAGAAGTGCCTGCCATAGAGGCAGGCTAGGGGGTGGGGGATACAGGGGATATTGGTGGTGGGAAATGTACACTGGTGGAAGGATGGGTGCTGGAAAATTGTACGACTGAAAACCCAAAAGCTTTGTAACTACCTCACAGTGATTCAATAAAATAATAATAACAACAATAATAATAGAGTGTTTTTGTTTCCTATGAAAAACTAGCTATATAATGCATGCTTCAGAATTCATGTTTGTGGGTTTGGGAAGGCAACATGAAACAATCGGGTACACCTGCCTTAGATGGAGTCTCAGTGTCCCCAGTAGGCACCAAATCAGATGGACAATTGTGCAGAGAATGAGACCCCTAAGTAAGGTTTGGGGGGGCCTCCTTTTAGGGCAAGGTTCTCAGGGAACAAGTTCTGGCCTTTGAGTGTGAGAGGATTCAGGGGCATTTGGATTTGCCTGCACCTCTGAGTTCCCACCTAACCGTGTGGTCAGGAGGTCCTTATCTGAGGACACAGCAATCCTGCCCTATCGAGCCATTCCCATAGGGGATGTTCTTGGGCTGGGTGTGAGTGGAGCTGGGAAGTGGTGCTCCTGTCTCAGTGAGGGTGGGAGAGACTGAAGCACAGACATGGGTCTGGCGACTTCTGCCAGACCACCACTGGCCTCTGCTGTGGTGGTCTTTCATGAGGCAAGAGGAAGAAGGTGCAGAGTACGGATGCAGGTCACCTGCAGACAACCAAAACAGGAGTGTGGGTAGGGAGGGGGTGAGGCTGATATGGAGGGTGAGCCAGGCCTTCAGAGAGACATCCAGTATCTGTGCTGAAGGCTGTGGGAATGCCTGACAGAGAGGGCCACTGGGGCTCTCAGGAAAGAGTGACCAAAGGGGATGGCTGACTGCAGAGAGGCAGTGGACTGGGAGCCATGCATTCTGGAACATTCTAGTTGTGAGGCCATGAAGAATGTGCACCTCATCCCCTCCCCCAGCAGGGGATCAACCATCCTGTGCTGAATGAGCAGAGCTGAGCTCTGAGAGCTTCTGGCCTGAAGGGAATGTGTTTGCAGGGAAAGCCTAGGAGGTGCGGGGGGGGGGGGGGGGGGGGGGGGGGAAGGAGGGGGGGGGAAGAGACAGGGTCTGCGGGAACTTCCCTGCAGCCAGGCACACCCCAGGGGTGGATCTGGGTGGGTTGGAGCCTCAGGATGGAAAAGCAAAGCAGGCAACTCTGGGACGGCCCTTCACAGGCAAGATGCAGCCCCAGCACCGCAGAACCCGGCCCCCAGTGCTCAGGCCCAGGACAGCGCCCCTCTCCCTGCACTGAAGGACAGATAACACTGCCCTGTCCTTTCTACACCACCACTTGTTCCTCTCCATCTCGCAGTTCATGTCTTGGGTCAGCTCTGCCTGCTTTCTCTTCATGCTTTTCCTTCTTTTGTTCTTTTTTCTTTCTTACCTTTTTGGGTCTCTTTATTCCTCCTCCTTTCTGCAGTCTTCACAGCATCTCCAGTCTAGCCCATCTGGCGCTCAGGTGGTGGCGAGGAGAGAGTGGCAGGTAGTCAGACCCAGTGCAGCAGGTACCTCTTTCCTGCCCAGACCTTATTTGGAAGTCGCTCCTTTGGTCGTGGGAATGCTGTCCTTGCTGGAGCTGCCCTGTCACTCGGTGGCAGCCCTATCACAACCTGTTAAGTTTTTCTTTCTAGCGGGTAGGGCATTTGCCTTGCACACTGCGTACCCGGGTTCGATTCCTCTGTCCCTCTCGGAGTGCCTGGCAAGCTACCGAGAGTATCCTGCTTGCACGGCAGAGCCTGGCCAGTTCCCCGTGGCGTATTCGATATGCCAAAAACAGTAACAACAAGTCTCACAATGGAGACACTAGTGGTGCCCACACAAGAAAATCGATGAACAAATGGGAGGACAGAGCTACAGTGCTACAGTGCTGTATTTTTGGACCATACCCCAGCTGTGCTCAAGGATCACTCCTGGTGGGTTCAGGAGACCATATCCGGTGCCAGGAATTAGTCTGCCCCGTGCAAGGCAACCCCCCTACCCCTGCACTAAGGCTCCGCCCCCCCACCCCACCAGGTGTTTTAAAGCCCATCCCCAGCCCCTCCCATACTGCTGCCCAAGATAGTCTTCATGTGGCAACCCTGGGATGCAGGAAAGGGAATCTCTTGGGAAGCCCCCTATCTCCTGCCCCTAACAGGGAGGAGAGGAGAGAGAAGCACACAGCTCTGGGCATCTGAGCGGAACTCACCAAAAGGGGCAGGGGCGACTGAGACGTCCCCAAGAGGCCCCTCCAGCTGCTGCTGCAGTGGCACCAGGTGAACAACAAGGGCTGATTAATAATGTGCTTCCTGCTTCCTGCCCTGACTAGGGGCCAGGCGCAGGCCAGAGGCCCCTGTGAGCACAGAGCTTGACATTCATCACGTTCCACATTGAGCTGGCAGGATGCCTGACGCCTTCTCCTCAGCCTCATTCCCTCCCGGACACTGCAGTCCTGCCTGATGAGCACGGAGGCTTGTGTACTGTGTGAAGTAGCACTCTCCAAGGCGCTGCTGAGGCCTCCTCCCTCTGACCAGCTCAAGGATGCCCAGAGTCTTTGTTTAGAAACCTGCGGAGGCAACACTGCCACATTCCCTTCGCATCATTGTCATCCTGCCTTCTACTCAAGGACACAAAAGGTCACTCAGCTGCTTCTGGGTGACACCTGCAAGAAGGGGAGGACCCAGAGATCTGTGCAGAGGGAGACAAGGCACCACCTGGCCCATCCACTCTCAGCCGATCCTTGCATCGGAGACTTGACATCTGAAGATTAAAATCTGGTCATCTGATTGCAAGTGTGTCCTTTGGGTCAACACAGCTATCGTGTGCTGCAAGTGACACATGGCTCACCAGGTATAGTGACTGGCTGTGTGTGAAAGATTAGGGGTTTTGGGGTCTGTGGGCTTCACCTGAGCCCATACTGCAGTGTCCCCTCCTTGGGGCACCAAGATCAGGCCTCCCCCACCCCATGTCATGATCACCCCTCATGTTGGTTTTTCCTCCCTAAACTGGCATCCTGCAGGTCCCTGGGCTTCTAAGCATGACCATAGGCTGTGCCCAGCCCTATCGGACGATTTGCTCTGTCCCCGTCCTCAGGATCCAGCCCACTCCCCTTCCCGTCCAGCTGCTCCTATCAAATCTCCCCAAGACTCCCCTGTGAGTCAGGCTTGCCCCACATGCACCCTCCAGAACAGCACTTCTTAAACCAGGGAGCAGTAAACTGAATGTGGGGAGATCATAAAAATTGGGGCAATAGTAAAAGGTTTCTGAACATGCAATCACCAAAACTTAATTCAAAATCAATTGTGCAATCGGTCTGAGGCATTTCTCAGGCAAAAAGGCGAATGGGAAAAGGTCGAGAACCCTATAGCTTGCTCCTGAGCCCCCCATGCCCCTTGGCCTTCAGAACCCCCTCGCATGGGACACTCCTAGGGCCTGACATTAGGGTGGACTTAGCTTCCATCCCTCTCTGGACTGATAACTGAGTGGCCTGCTTACATTCAGAACTTGGCACCCCACTTCTGCACGAGAACCATGTGATCCTTAATGACTTATCCACGTGGGCCGCTCCGTAAAGCACATTTCACATACCTCGCACGCAACACGAACACAAGTCACACACCACACATCCCATACCTCACACCTCACATATCTCACACTTGACATTACACCCAAGACACCTTTCATGCAACATGCATTTCATCACACACCATACACACCTCACAAACCACACACCCTAAGGGCTGCCAGAGAAAAACCTAACCTCGGAAACAAGTGGAGAAAACAAGATCCTCTGGTCCCCCCTCTCTTCACACCTAAGGTTTCAGACAGATAGACAAACAGCTGATCACACTGTGTAGAACCCACAACACACCCAAGGCCCACACACAAGAAGCAGCTTGGCTGGTGATTTAGGGTCACCAGCAGATAGGAGCTTAATGTGTGACGACAAGTGTAACTACCAGATGACAAGGAACCATGGTGCCAATGCCACCCCCATAACCTGAGTGGAATCTGCATAGTATAGTACCCAGGGGGCCCCCGTGTTGATAGGAATGTCTCAGTCACAAACATAGTCAGGGCTCCCAGACTTACAACCCAGTCACTCCAAGCATGGACCACTGGTCAGGCCCAGGACACAGAAGGTTCTACAAGCCCCACAGGCGACATTTAGGGCACATTTCCTAAAATCAAGATCAGGAGTCTGTGCAGTGCCGCCTTGTCCATTTTTATTTCATTTCAATCTTGAGAGAAAGATGAGTTAACATCATGGGACCAGAAAGGCCTGTTGCTGCTCTTTTTTAAGTGAAACTACCCCCATCCTTCACAGGTGAGAGAGGAGCCATTTAGGCAGGCCCCACCCCACATGAAGTGGGCATCCCGTCCTTGCACAGTCAGGAGGACAGCGTCTCCATCTGCAGAAAATGGTGCCTGAGGGGTCAGCAGTGCGGTTGGTGGGAGGCCCGTCGGTGCCAAAACGCTCCATCAGCAGGCAGCGCCTGGCCTCCCGGAGAGGGATTCATCCGCCTGGAAAACGAATCCCCTGCAAACTCCAGCCCGCGCCACCTTGCTGACCGCAGAGCACCTGTCAGAGCAGGATGTGATACTTGAGTGCCCGGGGCACCCTGTTGATGACCAGTCTCCCATCATAACTCAGGGAGGCGAACAGCCAGGGGTCAGCCGAGGACCAGTCCACAGCATACACGCTGTCCTCGTGCTCCTCGTAGGTGGCAATGACGCTGTCCTGCGGGGGCTCCTGGCTCCTGCAAAGCAGAGATGCGTGTGAATGGTGGTGGTGTGTGTGGGGGGGAGAGGGAGAGGGGACGGGGAAGCATGGCCAGCAGCAGGGAGTCCACTATTCTGGGCTGCAGAATGAGAGCATAGTGTGGAGTGAGGCTGTCCTCCTGTGACCACAGGGAAAGCCCACGGGTCGGCCTGCACTCCCAGCACCATCGCTCAGGCTGTCTTTAAACAACTCACACTACTTCACCTTCTTCAACCACCACCAGGGAACCATGCGCTCAGCTTCTCCTGGCGAGCTGACACCCACCATCCCCCCAAGAGTTGGGGCCCCCTTCATGACCTGCATGTTTCTTCCCATTCCATTGAAGGTTATATTCCAGGAACACGCTACCCCTCGGGGTTCCTGGGTTCTCTGCAGGAAGGGCTTCCCACCCTCACCTGGAGTGTCCCGTTGGCACTGAACACTGGGCTCCCATCAACTCTAAACCGATGGCGGAGTTCCAGAGCAGACCTGCCAGGGGTCGCCTGTGCCTAGCCATAAATATAACACAAAAATTCCCTTTGGGGACCGATTCTCCTTAGTTTACCAGCATGAAGGGACAAGCCATGTGCATAGGCCTGCAGGGAGCCATGAGAATGCCGCATCTAGGGGTCCTGGCTCCTGGCTAGCCAGACGGTCACAAGCACCCGTTCTGTTCTTCCTAACATGCGTCTCTGGGGCCTCCACCCAGGACAGTATGGTCTGGAATCACCCAAAGTCAGCGGGAAACACCAGCTCTGTCCTAACAGAGACAGGCACAGAGGCCGGCTTGGCACTGAGCAGACCAGTGCTGAAGGGGGCCAAGGTCAGCTCAGCGTTAGACCCCAGACAGAGGCCCTGTAACTGTTTTTGCCCGTGTTTGAACAGAAAAACAATCACCTCAAGGAGGTAGACAAATCAGGAGGTGTTTGTCTGGAAAGGCTCTATGGAAAAGGCTCCAAATCCAGTGCTCGCTTTGGCAGCACAAAGACTAAAATTGGAACCATACAGAGATTAGCCTGGCCCCTGCACAAGGATGACACGCAAATTTGTGAGGTGTTCCGTATTAAAAAAAAAAAAAGCTCCAAATTCAGCCATAATCGTCTCCTCATCAAGTAATTTCAGACTCAATTCATGTGGGCAGAGGGAGAGTTCAGAAATGGAGGATGTAAAGATCTCCAAAACGGAAAGGGGGAGGGGGGGAAGCCTGATGATGATGTCACCACCCCGATGGTTTCCCCTCCTGAAGCTGCTTCCTCTGGAACCCAGAGATGCGGCTGATTCAGGCTCACTCCCGGCAGAGGAGGCAGCTGTCACACACCAAAGTGAAGCCAGGGAGGGAAACTCGAGGCACCTCCATTAGCACCCACGCTGCTGAGAGTCGTCCCGGGCACGCCCTGCTTCTCGGCCCCAGAGAGAAACCTCAGTCACGCTCAGCGCACAGCTGGAGCCCACACGTCTCTGGGGCAGGAGCTTGGAAATGAAAAGCGAGCGCCCGAGTGGAGGCAATTAGCATCGGAAAATAGAGCAGGGGAGCAAGGCTTTGGAAAATTCTCAACTAAGCGGGTGTCCCTGGCAAGCCGTGCTGGAGGCTCTCTGCGTGTGGAGCAGCGTCTCAGGGTGCAGCCGCTGGCAGGCCTGGGCCTGGGTTGGGGCCAGCAGGGGCCAATCTGCCCACCAGCCAGCAGTGAGCACCCTGAGTGAAAAAGGTGACTGCTGACTGAGTCGCCTGGCTCACACCCCTGACAGGGAAGAACAACAGTAAGGAAGGATCCGTGAATGGAAGCACTCATTAATGATTAAGTATTAGAGGTGAATGACATCTTTAATGCCTTATGTGTAGCACTCAAGGGGGGGGGGGGGGGGAAATGCCAAGACACCAGCATAGAGGCACAGTGTTTCAGAAAGTATCAAGAAGGTGCCAGCTCGGGGCTGGAGCTATAGCACAGTAGGTAGGGTGTTTGCCTTCCACACGGCCGACCTGGGTTCAATCCCCAGCATCCCACATGGTCCCCTGAGCACCGTCAGGAGCCAGCTCACCGAACCCAAGTCCAGTGTATGCCTTGGCTAAATTCCCAGGCCCTCAGCGGGGCACCAGCCTAACTGCATACCCGGTACCCCTCCCCGAGCCCCCTCGGCCCAGAGAAGACTCGTGAGAGGGCGCCAGGCTGAGGTTCTTACTTCTCTTCCGTACGCCTGTCCTCCTGGTCACTCAGGTCGTCATCATCCACCAGGTGGCCGAACGGCTCAGAGGAGATGGAGACCATGTTGGAGAGGATGACCCGGCTGTCGCTGCTGCCCGTGAGCACGAGCTGGTCATGAGAGTGGTTGTAGCGGACGTTCCACACCCTGCGGGGAAAGAGAGGCCTCTGAGACGCAGGCCTTCCCAGGTGGGGTGCGTGTGGGGCCCGTCACACGCTCCGTCCCTCAACAGCACAGCTGAGCCATGGGCTGTTCGCAATCAAGTGTCAGGCATCTCGAAAATCCCCCCCAAACAGATCAACTGTACTGCTCAAAATTCCACACGGGCTCTCTCCAATTCTAAAAACAAAACTTGCCAGCAGCAAAGTGTCAATTAGAGATAACCTGCTCAATTAAGCTAAATCCCCGAGCTGAAATCGAGGGTCCAGCCTGCAGCAGGGGGCTGGGTTAGAGTCACGGGACCCAGGTGAGCGGTACAGTCCACCTCGCAAGGCAGTCATTATACCCCCCTCCCCCGCCGGGGCAGCAGGACCACCTGCCAGAACCAAGGAGGACAGGTGTTTCCGAGTCTGTCTAAAAGTACACCAGCGTTCAGGTTCTAGAATTTTCTGGCTGCAGAAATAGTATCCCTTCTGGCGAATGATTCAGAGCCATGAAAGCTGCTGGCCGTAGAGAATAACCCACTGCGATGTGCCTTCCTGACCCAAGAGACAACTCCCTATAGCAGTCTGACTCTCCTCGCTGTCTGCTCTGCGTGTACACACGAGCACACGCCAACTTTATCTGAAGAGGGGCCTGCTGGTCCTATGCACGCCGGTTCTAAGACTCCTCTCCTTCACTTCTTCAGCAGACAGTACCAGCAGATGGTGAATTTCCAAACACTGGCTTGGGAAGAATGAATGATCCTGGCGCCTTCACATCCCCGTACACACAGCGACTCCTCACTCTGACAGCGGCACAATCCCCAGCGCGTGGATGTCACTGACTGACTCTGCCAATCCCCTGCTCACGGGCACCTGGCCTGCCTCCAGCTTTCCTGCACTGCAGAGAGGGCCCGGTGAACATCTGTGCACATACATTTTTGCACACTGTACCAGCACTGTTCCAAAAAGGAAATAGAAACAAATGTTTCTCCTTCTTTTCCTAAGCATTACAAATCACAAACACTCAGACTGGGAATGAGAGCTTCTTTAGGAAAAAAAAAAAACCGGGGGGGTTGATGGGATAATTCACAGCCGCTGCTCATCTGTGCCTTTCTAAACGAGGATGACCAAAATAGACCCCGCCATCGCCTCCACCCTAAAGCAGACAGAGGAAGAAGTCCCTACCAGTGCGAGTGCTCCTCTAAGGACTTCACGGGCTCCGTGACATTCCGAGTGTCCCAGAACTTCACCTTGCAGTCATCTCCGCAGCTGGCAAGGTAGTACTGCTTGTTGGGGTTGAAGTCGAGGTCCCGCACCAGCTGTCCATGGGCATTCTCGATGCAGTATATCTGGCTGGGGGTGGGGGGGAGTCAGCAAGAGAACGCACAGGGTGTGAACCGGGGTCCAGATGGGCACGGCTTGCCAGGGCCCCACAGTGGCCACAGAGGTGAAGGTTTCCTCAGAGGCACGTCTGCAACCCGCCCCCAAGCTGTGGGGGCAGGCCTGACGTGGGCTGTCAGAAATGAGTTGGCACCTCAAGAATGAGAGACAGAGGGAATCGTGACCGGCACAGACAAGAATGACGGGGTGGACACATGCTTGAGAGGGATGATGGGCAAAGCAGAGAGAACAGAGTGGGGCCAAAAGTAGTGGGCAGAGCCCTTGGTGGGAGACAGAGAAGGAAGAACAAGCTGGGGACCCCTAAAGACCCGAAAAAAAAAAACAGCATCTGTGAGAGCAGGGCTCATGTGGGTCTCATCATCTTGGACGGCCACACAGGAGCTGCCTTTGCCAAGGTCCAGGGCAAAACACTCCCCTCAACATAGGTCACTTGGGCTCAGGACACCAGGGAGGGCAGGGCAGCTAGTTTAGAATCAAGTGCCTTCATAGGCAACTGCCCATGTGCTCATGCAAGGCACAGGTGTGTGCATGCCTGCACACACACACACATACACACACACACACACACGCACGCACACACACACACACACACACACACACACACACACACACACACACCCTGACTTTCACTGCTCCAGGTTGCTCTCACAGGGTGGAAAATCAAAGTATTTCATCTCTTCTAGCAGTTCCTTGTGATGTCACAAACCCCACAACTGAGTCAAGACGTGCTTTGCCTTGCCAGCCTGTGCTGGACACAGTCGGGCATCCCTGTCTGCAGTGTCCACTCCGTTTCCTCCCCGGGGAGTAACCTCACCTCTCCTATAAAATCTCATTTCTTTACACGTCATGGCCTCCTCGAGATCACGCAGAGCCGGTACTTGTGCTCCATGTTATTATTTCTCACATCTGAGCCATCTCTGGTGTCTTCTCTGAGGAAGATACGCTCAAACCCTTCCAGCTGCCTGCATAATGGACTGTCCAACCCATAACCACTTTACAATCCCAATCTGGAGCTCCCATCTTTTATTTTTCAAATATCCTAACTTAAAAAAAGAAAGCACTGTACCACTGCCTTCCCGTTGTTCATGGATTTGCTTGAGCGGGCACCGGTAATGTCTCACAACAAATTGTGAGACTTGTTGTTACTGTCTTTGGCATATTGCACACGTCACGGGGGTGCTTGCCAGGCTTGTGGGAGAGATACTCTTGGTAGCCTGCCAGGATCTCCGAGAGGGGTGGAGGAATCGTACCTGGGTCGGCCATGTGCAAGGCAAACACCCTACCCGCTGTGCTATCGTTCCAGCCCAAAAAAAGAAAAAAAAAAGGTACCCCAAACCAAAGACATCTTCAAAACTGAAATATGCAAATATATTAAAAATATAGGTCTAGGGAGACAGTACAGTGAGCAGACTACTTGCCTTATATGTAGCCAACCTGGCTCCAACACCAAGCACCCTGTATGGTCCCCCATGCACGACCAGGAGTGATAACTGAGCAGAGTCAAGAGAAGTTCTAAGCACTACTGAATGTGGAAAAAAAAAAACACCCAAATGTGGCCTAGTCTTCAGGATGCAGGTGACAACACTTGCAGAGTATTCATTGAGGGTTTGTTGCATGCTCTCAAAACAGCTTTAATATAAAAGCACAATCCATTCAGGAAGAAGCGTTTGAAATACACCCGCTCCATGAAAGCCAATGCTACCTGCAAGGGTCAGTGAGCAGAAGCTAGGGTTCCACTCTGCAGCTCACCACCCCAAAAGAGATAATGGGTCCTACCAAAACCTGTCTCTGTTTTTAGTTTAGGTCTACAGAGCCATTAGCTGAGTTTCTTCTGCCTTTAAATAGTGAAATTCTGCACAATTTCTAAAGAACAATGAAAAGAGGAGTTCATATTCTAGTGGTCTGTTTTGACTTTTTTTGGGGGGGGGGTTCCAAAGCGGTACGTAGCATATTACTGGAGGACCAGTGGCCTCTGCAAGGCTGCACCCAGTGATACTTGGGGGCCCATGTGGTGCCAGGATTGAACTGAGGTCAGCCCCAAGCAAGGCAAGTCCCTTAACCCTGTACCACACCTCTAGGCACTGATGCTGATTATGAATCAGAATCCTTTGTACAGACACGAGCACGCTGAGGAAGTAGCAATTGATTATTTATCATCCCCTGAGTTTTCAGAGGGACCAAAGAACTCCATTTAAAGTTGTGCCCCCACCCTTGAAGGCAACCCAAGTTATTTCGCGACATCCATCTTTGCAGCTTAGTGATAAATTATGGTGTGCTGAGGGGATAAACTGTATCTTAAAAAAGCTTGCACGGGCTCCCGTTGCCATGGTAACAGATGTGCACACCATCACTCCTTTGCCTATCAAAACCACACCTGGAACGGAAAAATCGCTCTTATTTGTTCCATTAGAACTGCTGGCTGTTGCGTATAATGACTTAAATGACAAACTATGATTACCCGATAGGCACGTATCTGGAAGGCACAGAAATGGTCACAGACAAGGCCAGGGACTTAACCGGGGAGTGACTACAGCTGTCACCCAGGGCTAATCATGGAGGCCAAGCCTCGGCTTGTCTCCATCTCATTTCTGCAGTAGTACAGACACTTGGGCTTAACTTTCGACCTAAACAGTGGCCACTGAAGGGCTGTCCATGCAGGACAGGAAATGCAAATGTGAGGAAGTTGGGTTCCATGCACCACCGGCTCAGGGTGGGAGGGAGAGACAAGACGAGGATCACAGGATCCTACGGCAGCAGGTGAACACCTCGAGACGGGGCTGTGCCTGGAAGATGGGTAGGGGCAGGGAGATGAGAGGCTCTAGGTCAGGGCCACCTGGCGTCACTCACCTCATGCTGCGTGTGTCCCAGCCTCGAACGGCGGTGTCGTTGGCCGTGGCCACCTGGGTGCAGTTGTGATGTGGGCTCCACCGTCCCGAGGTGAACTTTAGCTGTCCCTTCCCTTCCAGGGATGCCGAGCTAGCCAGCTGGGAAGGTGACCATGTTTTCCAAGGATGGAGAGAAAAGAAAAGGGAGAACAAATTCAAACTCTCTTCGCGAAACTTAGGGAAGGAGGCTATCCTGTCCTCACAGCATATTACTGGAGATCATTATTGAAAATAATTAGGAAGCTCTGTCTTTGTTTTCTTCCCTTAAAAGGCAAGAAATGTTCGAACCTTATTAGAACAAACTAAGTGCAGCAAAAAATAGAACGCATATTAATAGACCCTTTATTAAACAGGACTTGCCAGTGTGCAGCAGAGATAATCTGCTGAAACTTGAAGCGACAATAGGAAGGAACTCAAACATCTGGCCTCCCCCGCAGACAAGCAGGCACAATCCACAGGCCAAGTCCTCACAACAGAAGGCTAGGGTGTCTGGGCCGGCCAGTCAAAACAGCAACCCCACCCCCCACAAACACACACCCTACCCCTCGATCCTGTCCGGATGATCTCAAAATCCTTTGCCTGGTGGTCAAGGAAGCCTCAAAAGATAATGATGAAGCATCCTCTCTGCCCCAGGAAGCTGGGACTGTCTCTGAGGGCTGAGCCCTCTGTGCTGTGAGAGGCAGAGGTGGGTATCCCAGATGTGAGTCTGGCATCTGTCCCCTCTCACCCCATCCTCACGTGCACACACCCTATTGCCTGTTCTCAGGAGCCTCACTCCGCTTCTCTGGTGACAGATTTGGGGTCTGAGCACCTCTAGGGCAGCGTTTCCCCAAGTGGGCAATACCAATCCCTGGGATGGAGGTGGGGGTGCTGTTGAAAACCCTTTCTGCTTGCTAAGCAATTGCCCCCCTCCCTGAAAAGGGGACAGCAGGTCAAGTAAGTTGGGAACCTCTGGTCAACAGGAAGCAAGGGCTGCAGCCCTAACTGCAGTGCACACACATCCCCCGGCCTGCCACCACCACAGCCCCCGGCCCTCTGCACTGGCCTTGCTCTCAGGCTTCTCCAAGAGCCAAGCAGCTCAAGGGACAGGCCTGAAGGAGGACAAGGGGCCACTGTGTCAAGGAGGCTCGGCAGTTACCCCTCCCCAGGCCTGCAGGCTGGCTGCACCCCTCATCTCCATCCTCCCCAAGGGCCGGTAGGCAGAGAGCGGAGATGCAGCGTGGGCACCCCTCACACCAGGTGGGCCCTGAACAGCTCTGAGGAGGGGGCAGTCCAGGCAGGCCAAGCAATCCCACCAGAGATTTGGGGGGAAAACAAACCACCCCCCGAGAAAAAAAAAACAGCCCTTTTTTTCCTGCAGAGAGACTGAGAGATTTCCAAAACAAATCTCCAGGGCAGACCTGCTTGACTTGGAGTGAGAGCAGGCTAAGAGCTCCCCCGCCCAGGGCCTCCCTCAGCGAGGACCAGTCGGCGGCTCTTCAATTTCACGTCTCAAGTTGTCCCGGGAAATCTTTATCCAAAACAATCAATTTCTCTGCCTCATGATTCAGCGTGCTTTGCCTGCAGTCTGGCAAGCAAGCCAGGGCGCTCCCTCCCACCTGCTTCTTTCCCACACAGGGTCCCTCTCACGGGGAGTCCTCAGAAGAGAACGAGGGCGTGCGGGTGAGGTCTGGAGGTCCGCCAGGGTCAACCTTCTCAAGCAAAACTTCCAGCTGGGCCCGAATTGTGCACCTTCCCAGGTTTCCGGGGCAATCCCTCTAGGTGCTTCTCCAGATCTTCTGGGCCTGTACACCCTTAGGATCTCCCCTTTCCTCCCCCATCACCCCACAAGTGGACGCCAAAGCCTCTCTTCTTAAGAGAAGTTGGAGCTTCTGTTTTACAATGTCCCAGTGAGAGGGCTGCCCTGACAGCCTATAGATCGAGTGCACCTTATCCCTCCTCTCTCCCGGTGAGGTTGAAGAGTTATTTCTGGGCCGTGCAAGAATTATTTATTGTGTTCCTGCCAGTGGGGGAGGCCGAGCGAGGGATGCCCGTGACTGGGAATAGCCTCGAGGGATGAATCACTGAAACACAAGTGAGGAGAAAAGAACAGGCTCCGGGCTGAGGGCGCTCAGGGGTCACAGTCGAGCTGCCGGGGGACAGGGAGGCCCCAGATGCGGCTGGCATCTGCAGTGGGCCCGCGGGGTGCTGACAGTGACAGCCCAAAGTGTCAGAGGACATTGCGGGCAGAGCAGAGAGGCATCAATGGAAGCAGATCTGGAGAACAGCAGCGCCCATTTTTTTTTTCTGCTTTGTTTTTAGTCCACACCTGGTAGTAGCACTATAGCACAGTCATCCTGTTGTTCATCGATTTGCTCGAGCAGACACCAGTAACATCTCCATTGTGAGACTTGTTGTTACTGTTTTTGGCATATTGAATATGCCACGGGGAGCTCGCCAGGCTCTGCTATGAGGGCGGGATACTCTCAGTAGCTTGCCGGGCTCTCTGAGAGGGGCAGAGGAATCAAACTTGGGTTGGCCATGTGCAAGGCAAACACCCTATTCACTGTGCTATCGCTCCACACCTGGCAGTATTCAGGGCTTACTCCTGGCTCTGCACTCAGGGGAGGGCTTCTGGCAGACTCCGGGGACCATATGGGATGCTGGAGATTGAACTGGGTCAGCCGCATACAGGGCAAGTGTCCTACTCACGATACTATCACTCTGGCCCCCGAAAGAATCTTGCTTGGTTTCACTCTGGAACAAAGGAGTCAGATTGGGCTGCACTCCTGAGCACTGGTCCAGGAGTCTGTTGGCAGGCCAGAGAGACCATGTGGGCAGGGCGGGCAGTAGCATCGTGCCCACGGCTGATGCCAGGTAGCAGCATGTGGCAGAACTGGAGGATGAGGGTAGGAGACAAGGAATCTAGGTGAGGGAGCACCCAGAGCAGAGCCACTTGGGGGCAGAGAGAAGGCCGACCGGGAGCTGGGATCTTGACACAGGACCTCAGACCCTGGTACTCACACAGCAGCCTGGGATCTCTGAGCAGAAACCAGACCAAAGGCAGCTCTGCAGAGAGGCAAGTAAGCTCCAGAATCTGGGGGTGTCTCAACACCAGGAACAATTTTCACACCAGAATCCCCTCAGGGGAGGGACAGTTCCAAGTGGTGCTTAGAATGACAGTTCGGGGAGGCAAGTGCCTGCAGGGACCAGCCAACTGGGATCCTCAGTGAGGTCACAGAGCCCCCAGAGGGGCTGGGAGGGCTGTGGGGAGATGGGGACGTGCGAATAGGTGAATATGAGTGGAGGGACGTGGATGGGGGCAAGGCAAGCAGCAAGCTCGCTCTTGCTTTCCTGCATCAGGCTTTGCAACTCCACATTTCTGCCTTTTCTCCCAAGCCGAGGGATTCAGCCTAGGGCCAAGGGTGCCAGTCTATTTCAGCTGGCGTGCAGTAAAAATGTGCCAGAGTCCACACAAAGGGTCTGAATAGGTGGCTAGAGGGAAGATGGTGATGTTGAAATCGGGGTGATCAGGGCAGAGGACTGACCATCGCTCCAACCCACTATCCGGAGTCCGTGGAGGGAGGAAGGGGTGGAAGGGTCTCGTGGTCTGGGACCTAAACTTGAAGATAAAAATGCTCAACATAAACCAATTTGGGAGTAGGTCCCAGCAACAATGATGGAACAGACTGAACAGCAGTAAGAGCATTCTAAAAAAAAATCAAACAAACAAAAATCTAAAAATCATCCTCAAATCTACATTATTTGTGACTCAGAGTGAGCACCGTTTAACTTTAATTTTTCCAACTTGCACTTGATTCTATTGTTTAATCCTCCACATAGACCCCATGAATTAAGAAATGTTTTCTGTTCGAACACTGTATGACTGAAACTCCATTGTGAACAACTTGTAACGATACATCCACAGTGAGTCAATAAAAAAAAAAATCTTTTTTTAATAAGTGAAAAAAAAGAAATATTTTTGTAGGATCCCTGTAGGAAAAAAAAATCAATGAGCACTCCCCCTCCCAAAATTTTCATGGGTGAAACTTAAGTTTCCTAAGAACCTAGTTCTCAAGTTAATAGTCACTGATGATCACTAAAACTACAATATCTAAAAGCAAACTACAAGTATAAGCAAGGATGTCTACAAATTTAGCACTTTAGAACTAATCGGCATTGAGTGCTCTAATTTTCACGAAACAAATTCTCTCATCTTCCAACTCCTTGGATATATGACAGCGTCGGGTCAGCTTTTAGATGGTGTTCGGTACAGAGCACCAGACAAGCTGATCCCCCAAGAGCCTGTTATGGGGGAAACACCCTCCAGGCATCAGCAGCAAAGAAGAGCTGTGAGCACCAGCGAGCACAGGATGCAGGCCGAGTGCTCCACAGAATGACTGTCACCCCAGTTCTCTGCGCCTGCATCTTCTTCCATCTCCACATGGAATCCTTGGAGAAATTAGCTCAGCGAACCCAAGCAACGGACAGGTCCTTCCAAATAAAGGACGGAAAGCACTTACCCAAGGGCTGGGGGAGAATCCACCAGCTGAGAAACAGCCACGCCCAGGCCCCCACTTCAGACGAGACACTCAAACCCAGAGAGGGCAAGAGACTCGCTCTGGGTCACACAGAGAGCAGAGCAGAAAAGGGGCACCCCTCCTGCTGTGACCCCACTTCACTCATTCTAGTGCCTGAGACCCGGAAGCACACAGAGACTCTCCCCAGAGGCTCGCTAGGTATAGAAACAGGCGAGGCAAATTTTAATGAAAGCCGGAAAGATTTCACCATCAATTTTTGAGGGAGCCAGCACGGTGTAAGCTGTAAGGTTAATCAATCACACTTTTTTGGTTTCCTGGTGACATGGAGACAGAACTCAGCAAGAACTCCAGAGGGTGCAATGCACACGGTAATCTGTTTTTCAGCATTAAAGAGAAATATTCAGGGCTTCCCGGTCCAGAAGGAATGATTAAAGGCACCCCACAAACCTCGGAAACGAGGTTACCGGTGCCAGGATGGTGACAAAGAATGCACCTTCTAATGACAAAATGCTGTGACTGGCACCATCATTAGCAGTTCACACAGGCAGAAGAGTCACGGATTTCCGAAGACAAAAGCTT